CTAATCCTAATCCTAATCCTAATCCTAATCCTCCTCCTCCTCCTCCTTCTCCTTCTCCTCCTCCTTCTCCACCTCCTCCTCCTCCTCCTCCTCCTAATCCTAATCCTAATCCTCCTCCTCCTCCTCCTCCTAATCCTAATCCTAATCCTAATCCTCCTCCTAATCCTCCTCCTCCTCCTCCTCCTAATCCTCCTCCTCCTAATCCTCCTCCTCCTAATCCTCCTCCTCCTCCTCCTCCTCCTCCTTCTCAAGTATTATTTATATGCTAACGAAAAGCTTCGAGAAGGTGTGATACTCGGTTTGGGGTGAATCCCCGATTCCATCGACTGGATCCTCGATTACGTAACCTGATTATGGTAAACGTTCGCAGAAACCGAATGTTAGTACCCAACAGTTCTTCTACGTTCGTCCTGGCGACGTTTAGTGAGCGCAAAGTATCTAATACGCGTCCATGCACCTAATCGGAGTGTTCCATCGCTACGAAGCACGGCTCTCGAAACTGCAATCCAGAAACCTCTTTCACCGTCGTCTCTTTCACCCTCACCGAAAAACGTCCCTCCGGTATTGCGTCCAATAGAGAAATCCTCGCACAGGTACGCACGTGCGACCCTTTTCGCAGGTTTGACCCTTTCTACCTGGACCTCCCCCGCGTACGTGGGAGGCTGCTAAGGGAACCATAGCTCGCACCATTGAACCGCGCGAGATACGCATCTGGGAGCCTGAATAGCCCCGAAAATAACGAAATTCCTAGAGGGGGAATTTCACGATTTTGAATAATATTGCATTCCCCTTTCTCTGGCGTCGGCGAAGGTCCCGAAAGGGTCCTTTATTATCGCGCGCCCTCGAACGTACCCCGAACCGGTGCGCGACAGACGATTCCACGTGTTTTTCAAGGTGGACAGCGGGAATGCAACCGCCACGGAAATTCAACGGAATGGAAAGCATTGGTGGTCGAGGAGTAACTCTTTGCGATCCGGAAATATTACTTTTGCAACTCTGCAATTAACACGTCGACTGGCAAACGTTCTCGAAAATTTATAATGGGATCAAACGTCGCTTTGATTGTCGGATGAAATTTGTTAAATGCGTCACCGAACCACCTTTTCTGTGTATTCTATTGAATTTCAAGACAAATTCCATTGAAATGAAAGACAATTGAACGTTACCTAGACAAGAATTCAATGTTACTTAAGCTGTACGACTCTTTCACTTTCTCGACCGACTTAAATTGATGTCATTCGTTTTGATATATTCATAAATTATGAAATAGAAAATGTGTAATACGTAACCCCTTAAGCCGTGCAAATGAGAATAATTGCTTTCGTTATATACAGATATAACTATACTATATAGCTCTACTATATAGTTGTATACTATAGTATAGTTGTATAGTTGTATACTATAGTATAGTTGTATAGTTGTATAGTTGTATACTATAGTATAGTTGTATAGTTGTATACTATACTATAGTATATTGTATATTGTATACTATAGTATACAACTATACAACTATACAACTATACAACTGTACTATAGTTTACAACTATACAACTATACTATAGTTTACAACTATACAACTATACTATAGTTTACAACTATACAACTATACAACTATACAACTATACAACTATAGTATAGTATACAACTATACAACTATACAACTATAGTATACAACTATATGGTAGAGCTATATAGTATAGTTATATCTGTATATAACGAAAGCAATTATTCTCATTTGCACGGCTACTATATGGTTGATACTATATAGAGAATAGATGTTTGGCAAACAAATATGTGGAATTACACCAGTCGCTGTCTCCGCTGTGGAAATACCTGATCGCGAGATTGTGGGCTCCCGAGGTGTTGCTGCACTTTACCTTTTCCGCTACAATTTTCCCGTGTGTATCGGTTCCACTGAGCTAACCCTTTCGCAGGTGGGCGGTCCCAGCGACCCTTGGCTCGTTATTACCGCGCATCCGTTAACCCTTTCAGGTGGATCTCAGCCGATGGACCTTGGAAATTCGGGTTACGAGACCGCCACGAAGAGGACAATCTCGGTAACGGTGCGACGAATCGTAACGTTAGTTGTGCAATTTTTGTTGGGAAACTCGCGATGAACTCGAGTGACGTAATACTTTTCGTTTTAAGACGTATAAATTCCAAGGAAATTTTATAACACGTTTCTCAGCGATTATAAAGAAAAATATTACGAATTCTCTGCACAATTTCGTAACAATAATTAGAAATCCAAGCTATACATTGGCAAAACAAAAAGCTATGAATTTCAAAACAAAATGCGTAATTGTATCTGCATTTCAGTATGGACAATTACGAAGTACGCGTTGATCGGTTGCTAATTGATATCGAGAGGGGCAAGTAGTAGAAAATCCACCTGACTCGAAAGCGGTACAGGTTACCAGGGAAAAAATGCTACCTTCGAATAATCTGCTCTCCCCTGTTAATCTGATACAGAGAGAGAGAGGGGAGGGGTAGGGATGCGCGTAGAAAAAGGTGAAGAAATGCAGCAAAAAAGCGTACTCTTATTAGGAAGCGTAGAAAAAATTCAGAGGTCTAGCGGAGCCCTGCAGAGCTTGGAGAGATTTTTGTCGGAGAGGAGAGGGAAGAGGGTGTAGTTAATGACTCTGATGGGTGCCAGAGCAATCTTGACGCGTCCACACGCTCTGTTCTAAATCACTAGACATCCATCTGGCAGTGGAAGACGAGCAACAGCAGTACCGAAGAGTGTTAATTAGTCCGACTCGAAATACTCGGCGACAACTTGTCGATCCTATCGTTGATACTCAGAGCGATTTAACCGTCCGTCGATTATCTACGCCGAAACCATTTTTCAGTCGAATTCTACCATGATCTTAACCATTTGTTCAATTGCACGTGCTTGTTTCAAAGTTTAACCGTATATTGTAACCCTTTTACTGCGAACAGCGTAATTGAATTTGTAAGAAAAAGGAGTTTCAAATTTTGAATTTTTTTTTTGGAAACTAAACGTCGTATGAAGAAACTGTAAATAGAAAAAAGTTTCGTTACATCATCCCTGATAACGTGATATTTTTTAAATATTCGACAGAAGAGTAATTCTCAGCTGACACTTCCTTTCATTTCCATCTCTCGTAAAAGTAATTAAGTTGTCAGGAAAAAGGACTTGTACTTTCTCAATTTTTATTTCTGAAACGAAAAGACGTATGA